TTCCCATCCCACAGACACATCTCTGTAAAGCACTCAGAGTTGACAGTGTCTGCTTCTATCTCAGTGCCACTAAGTCCCTCGTCCCTGCCTCTAACCAACCCGTGGGAGCTGTAAGCCCGCCCTGTGCTTCCCAGTTGCATACCCTGGAAGTCACCGGGCTCATGGCTCCATCAGTCTGAGTGATGAAATAGGCATTTTTAATATTTGCTAAACAGGATTGTGGAGAAGGTGAAGTCTCGGCAGGCCTCCCAAGCGGTGACTGCATCTTGTTGTCTCAGGTTAATCATGTACCTAATTTGCCGATTATTGACTTGTTCTCACAAAGGATTTTACTTGGCTTGACATATCAGTAGCAATCAGTGAGGAACTGTCAAACCAACTTGCTCAGTGCCTTAACCACCCAACATCCCGACTTGCAGCAACAGCCTCTGAGATTTCCTTCGATGCTTACGCTGAAGCCATGTCTGAGGATGATGATTTTTTCCAAAGTCTGATCTGTTTCCTTTCTAGAACCAGGGTTGAGCAAATCTGACATAGTTTGTAGGACTGCAAACATTTGGCAAGGTGCGCTAGGCTTCCTTACAGACACCATCCCGATAAGATTTCAAATTGGTAGGTTAAGAATGGCTTAGATTGACCTTTTTTTTTTTAAGTCTAAGTCTTAAAAAATGCAATGCAGCGTGTCAAAATGCTGCATTTACAAGACAATATAATATCTACCTTTTAAATTGACAAAGATCAAATAGTAATAGGACACAGTTTATGCAAGGGCTCAAGTAAATAAAGTGGGCCTTGCACACTGCTGCTGGTGGGGAGGAGCGTGGGGAGAGTAAGTGGTGCAGCCTTTTAGAAGGACGATTTGCAAATTGTATAAAATCCTTAAGGGTTTACTTTCAGGAAAAGAATGAAGGATGTACCCAAAGACTAACCATGAGGACAAGGAGCCCAACATTTTATTGTCTGTCATTAGGGCTTTTTGTCGATAGATCTGGCGCTCCTCTTCCAGGGACCACCATAGGATTGTCCTTCCTGCCCCACTGAAGTTAGGATGTGCCTTGCTTTGGTCCATTTGAGAACACTTAAATGATATGTGCCACTTCCAAGTGGAAGTCTTTAGGGATTGGCATGCAATTCACCACCTTCCCCTTCCTTGCTGTGGGGAACTAGCCATGTTTCTGATAGTGGATGTTCTGTAGGTCTGTGTCCTTGAATGAGGGTGACATCGAGCAAAATTTTCTTTAATCCAAGATGAACATGTGAAGTAGGGTTTCCCAACCTCCGCATTAATGACATTTTGGGCTGGACAATTCTTTGTTGCGGGGGGCTGCCCTGTGCGTGGTTAGCATCCCCAGTCTCCACTCACTAGCTGCCTCTAGCAACCTCTTCCCAGAGACACAACCAAAAATATTCCCAGACGTTGCCAGGTGTCTCCAGGATGGGGCAAAATTGCCCCTGCTTGAGAACCACCACTGCAGAGTGAACAAGAAATAGCCTCTGTTAAGTCACTCAGATTCTGAGGTTGACGTGTTTTCTTTTTTACTGCAACTGATATGTTTTATTACAGCCAAAACATACAAACATTTAGCAAAAGGGAACTGCTTCAAATTATGGGTGTTTTTACTTCCTTTTGTTTCTCTGTGTTTTTAAAAATTTTCTGCAATGAAAACACAGTTTGCTCTTTCATAAGAAGAAAAAAACTAGAAAATTAATCTTATTTTAAAAAGGTATATTTACATAATTGCCTGTCTCTATACAGTATTTGCTAGGGCCATGCAGAATTTCTAACTACAACAATATCTTGTATATGGTATCTTCATATTGTGCTTTAGTTTGTAAAGTGCTTTCCCATCCTACTTTTGTTGTTGTTGACGTGTAATTACAACAACACTGTGAACCAGGTAACACAGGTAGACAAGGAGACTGAAGCTAACAGAGGTTAAGGGACATGTCCAAGGTCATCTGGTTTATACGCAGCAGGGCCTCCAACCTCACTTTTACCTCCAATCCCAGGACTTTCTCCCCTATGCTACATTACTTCTGTATCGTTGTAAAAAGCCACTTTCAAAAAGTCAACTGGGACACAGTCTGATACTTGGGAAATTTAAGCAGGTAAGAAAGGATTCTTTTCTGTATTTAATATCCTTGGACAAGGATACTAAACCTTGTAGGCTCTTGGTCAGAGCATGATACTCAATAAAATTTAAGCATAGCCATTTCATGCGACACAGCCAATAGAATTTCATATTCTTCCCCCTTCCCACTTCTCTTTCTCTCTCTCCAGCTCAAATGAGTCACCTTGGCTAGACTGCCAATCCCTATAGAACTTATGTTCCTTGATAGGATATGCCAATAGAAATGAGAAATTCTATAATGGTTCAAGACACGAGTGAGTCGCCTATCCCTGCGAGGAGCTGAGCACCGTCTCCTCGAGGAAATGTAGCTCATCAAATGGACATGAATGCAGGTAATGACAGGGAATGAATGTGAGAATGTGTAGGGAGTCGGGTTTTTTTCTTTCTTTTTTTGAGAAGCGCCCCTGTATTGTACCTGTCTTGTGCATTTCCAAGCATGTGCTCTGTGTCTCGCTTACTTGACCCTCCAGCACACACTAAACTCCCAAAGCGGCAGCTGGACTAAAACCCTGAGTGCACATCAGCCCATGCCTATTCATTTCCCTTCCCTTGAAATGTGATGGGGCTGTCCCTGGAGTGGAGCTATTTTGAGAGGACGATCGCTAGAACAATCCCCGGCTTGGCAGGAGATGGACAGCGTGGTGTAGCCACGAAAGAAGAAAAGACATTGTCATTGAGGGTTTGGGTCCTGAATGTCAGAACAGCAGGGAGACTGGGTAGACTATGTTTCTGCCTGCTGTCCTCTATCACTCAGTCACAGAGAGTTGCCTACTTTTCTTGCCATGATCGTTGGCTTTTCCATGATTCTGGTTGCTCAGTGCATGCAAGGGGAGGGGCATAACAGTGCTTTGGAACTATGTGGAGAAGTGTTTTTCCCCCAGCAAAGCTCCTTGCATCCAACTGGCTGAGAGGAAAGTTACGCTCAGCTGTGCCCAGAAGCATGTTCAGACTCACTCAAATAACGCCAATAAGCAGCCTTCACCACTGCAAATCATTCATTATGCTACAGCAGAATCAGTGGAGCCTGAAGGTCAAGGAGACCGCCTAACAATTTGCATAACTTCCCAGAGCAGCACCCTACCGTCTGGCCAGAAGTTACAGAAACGCCTCAGGGACTTCTCTCAGTTGAATTCCTCTCTTTCTCTTGATGAGAATCTCTTTGAAGAGCAGATGTGATTTTTGTACCAGGAGTTCTGCTTGGTCAGAGGCTATGTTAACTCATCTCTGGATAATCAGTGCCTAGACCAATAAATATTTTTCTGGATGGATGGATGGAGGATATATTGATTACCACTTTACATATTGGTCCCTATAGCATGCGCTGTGTATGGCAGTAAAAACCTACACAGCCCTCCCTTGCTCAAAAAAGAAACAGTCCATTTAGTCTCTTGTGTTGCTCATTTCAGGCTGTCAGGATGAGATTGCAAATAAGTTTCATCTTGACAGCCAACACTGGTCAATTGGTAGTGGCTGCCCTGAGGGTTCTGTTGGAGCTATTTGCACCCTGAATTTAGGGAGGAAAAAGTGCAGTCATCGATTAGCAATGTCTGCCATGAGCTACAGACAAAGAAATGGGGGCCTGACTGCTCTGCATTTGTCAATGGGTTTAAAGCTTTAAATTCTTCCAATTGAATTTTCTAGATGAATACCTTTCCTACGCATTTTAAAGTCAGCTTTGACTGGATATAATGGGCAGTTAAGGATGTTTTCCCTCCACTGGTTTATTTTCCTAACGTACATCTTTATGACCTTGCTGGATTTGAAAGCAAATGAGGTGGGAAAACCCTACTTGGTTTTCCTCAGGATATACAATTCTTATTGGAAAAGACACTCAAGCTAGGTGGGTATTAATTTATCTCAAGTGATCTGTATAATAAAATCTCTGCCAGGACAAATTAAAGGAGGGATGAGAGGAAAATCCATGAAATCCATAAAGTCATCCAATCTCTTTATTCCCAACGCTGGGAATAATCTCTCTTTCACAGTGCCAAAGACGTCCCGAGGAATTTAGCGTGGGCAAGAACAGGGTAGTCACAGGGAAACAGCCACTAAGCTTTGCTTACTGTTACAGCACTCTTTTCACACGCAGGAGGATGGCTCCTAGTGATATTTCAACAAATTAATACAATAACGAGAACACCTGAACAGCAAGTACCCAAGGATTAACTCCAGGTCTAGCAAAGCTGACTTCATCAGGTAGGGACGTTGCCATTTTTTGAGATACAATTCACATCCATAAATTTCACCATTTTGCAATTCAACAGTTTTTAGTATATTCACCGCGTTGTACAATCATCACAGCGATCTAATTTGAGAGCATTTACATGACCTCAAAAAGAAACCTCATACCTATTAGCAGTCAGTCCCAATTCCCTCCTCCCCTACCCCTGGCAATCACTAATTTCCTTTCTGTCTCTATGGATTTGCCTATTCTGGACAATATAAATGGAATCATACAATACATGGCCTTTGCATGTGGCTTCTTTCACGTGGTATAATACTTTCAAGATTCGTCCCTGTTGTAGCACGTAACAATACTTCCTTCCTGTTTATCTTTGAATAATATGTCATCATATGGATCTATCACTTTTTTGTATCCATTCATCAGTTCATAAACATTTGGGTTGTTTCCACTCTTTGGCTATTACGAATAATGCTGCTGTGAACATTCGTGTATCTATTTTTATGAGAAATAATGTTTTCAGTTCTCTGTGGGTATATACCTGGAAGTGGAATTGCTGGGTCATATGGTAATTCTATGTTTAATTTTTTGAAAAACTGTTAAACTCTTCCACAGTGCTGCTATCATAGTGGGTGTGAAGTGATATTTTTTCTGCAAGTTCCTGGTTATATAGAGCACGGTCATACCTGGGCATGAGATGGTGGAAGTCCCCTTCGTATGTAAACACCGAAGAGAGCATCTTTCCCAAGAGAGATGTTGAACTTTAAGAACTGGGGTTGACTGATGTGGATCTGTGACCTCCAAAACACGCCTGGTGGGACTTCTTGCGTCACACGCCGACCGACTTCTGCTTCCCCACTGTCTATGCTGCTGTTTTTCAATGACCAGGGCACTGGAAAACAGGAATTGACATCAAGTCAGTGACATCTGTATACATTAGTTGGCTCTACATTTCTGTTTAATTATATGCCAGGATTTAAAAATCTCTATATGAAGATTAAACTCAAGGCAAATTTCTCTTTAAGTCAGAGCTTAAAACATTTAGGTTTTAAATAACAAAGCTGTAAACTCATACCTCAGGGCCTCTGAATTACTGGCACAATGCTTTCTAAAACTTCTGAGATGGCTCTTTACTGATCAAATACAATAAGAAGTGGAGTCTGGGGCCAGCCCCGTGGCAGAGCGGTTAAGTGCTCATGTTCCGCTTCAGCGGCCCAAGGTTTGCCAGTTCGGATCCTGGGTGCGGACATGGCACCGCTTGGCACGCCATGCTGTGGTAGGCGTCCCACATATAAAGTAGAGGAAGATAGGCACAGATGTTAGCTCAGGGCCAATCTTCCTCAGCAAAAAGAGGAGGATTGGCAGTAGTTAGCTCAGGGCTAATCTTCCTCAAAAAAAAAAAAAGGTGGAGTCTGATAAGTACGTGTCAAGCTTCCAACAACTCCAAATGTGACTGGTATGTAAAAGTTATCAGCAGGGGAGGGGATAGTGATACTAATTTGGCACCAAATTTAATTCTTGCAGCCTTTAATTATTCTTTCCAGTGACAAACAAGTCCATTGTACTCTATTTCCATAAATTAAAAACAAGAAGCAACAGTGAACAAAAATTAGTACAAGGTAAACAAAATAACTCAAAAGAAAATGGGGACTTGATCTCAGGCTGATCTAACGTTGGGGTGACCCCTTTGGGTTAGAGGGAGGGATCTAAGAACCGTGCAGAAACCATAGCTCTCTCATGGTGACATTAACACATCTCTGTTGCATTATTTGAAATTGTTTATCTTGAAAACATTGGTTGCAGTTCTGAAAGATGCCACACTCAGCATCCTTCAGAACTTTAATAATAGGTGTTTAAGAAATACCTATTTTTAAAGAGGCTTTCTTAATAACCATGAAGCAGCCAGTGGCTCTTATACTTCTGAGGGTGGTTTTCTTTGCGAACACAGAATTAAGGAAAAGCTGGGCGTTACTAGTGCCCAAGGAAAGCAAATTAATTGATCTCTCAGAGCCTCATTTTCCTCATCTTCAAAATGGGAATAAAATCTAGTTGGAACCTAGTTTTATAAGTCATTTGGGATTCCTTCAAATGGATTCTGAACTTGAAAAAACACATAAAACCACCACTATATCCTATCTTCTTGAGACCTTCTAAACCAATTGAAACCAAATACAAAAACAATTGAAGACATTTTTATCTCGACAGTCTTTTCATTTTCCAATTGATCACTTTGGTGGCCTTGTGGATCTGAAAACTTCTTCAGTCTGACGGACAAAGGATGGAAAGCAAGCTCCCTTCTGCATTCTGTAATGGACAACTCTTCTGAAAACATTTATCTATGTTTGCCCACCACACGTTGCAAAAGGTTTGCACGATGAGAAGAGGTTATAAAACTGCTGAAGACTGGCACGAAAGGTAAGTGAAGCCGTCCGACTCGGGAGCCCTGACTGTTACTCTATAGCCACTGCATTAAGATGAGACTCATAAATGACCTTGGGGCCAGTTTCCCCACCTGTAAAATGGAGAGGTGACACTTTTGGCTCTCTGAATGTCTTCCATATCTAAATTACAAAAGAAAACCACAGAGTCACCTTTTTTCTTTAACAAGAGAGGTGATGATTCATTTTTATTTAGCTCAATAGTGGATCAAATAAAGAGTCAACAGGGGCTGAAAATAAAGTAGGAGAAACACTGGTTTGGACCTTAAGGAGAAACTCTTGACCTCTAGAATAATAAAACTAGGGAATGGACTCCTAAGGGAAGTTTAGAAGCTTCCATCACATAACATCTTTAAGAAGGAAAGAAACAAATCCAAGTCCTGAGTGGTTCAGATCTATAGATGAGTACCAGATGTTTGTTCCTCAAACATTTTTCCGCTGGCTAGCAGGTCTAATGGACGTGGAATGTTTCTCTGTAGAGGAGGAACAGGGCACAGTTTCTATGAGCAGAGACTCTGGACTGACAGTGTCTGGGTTCAATTCCTAGCTTTGATATTTACCAAGTATATCAATTCTTTGTGCCTCAGCTCCTTCATCTGTATAGTCGTGACACTATTATCATTCATTTCATAGGGTTGTTATGAGAATTTGATGAGTTAATTCATGCAAAGCTCTTTGAATAATTTTCGGCGCAAAGTAAGTACTAAATAAAAATAAGTTGTCATAAATATTATTATCTGTAAGGCTCTAAGACTGAATAGAGTGTTGTTTATTTTGCTGAAATAATGACATGTCTGGGGGGAAAACACTTGTTATCACAAGTTGATCAGAAGCTCCGATTACTATAAATTGGAAACTAATTTTTACGTCAAAATGCTGCTTTTGACAGACTCCCAGATTGAAGCCTTTTAGGGGAAGGGATATAATGAAAAGGACCCAGTAAGGAAGGGATGCAGTTAAAAAGACCCCTGCGAGGGAAGAGTCTAGGGGCCTCTGACAGAGACCAAAAGTAACCCCAGCAATCATAGTGTGGCAACAACTTAAAGAAATGCATTAAAAATAAAAACGAATTTTAGGGGCCAGCCCTGTGGCCGAGTGGTTAAGTTCGTGCTCACTGCTTTGGTGGCCCAGGGTTTCACCAGTTTGGATCCTGGGCACGGACATGGCACCACTCATTAGGCCATGCTGAGGTGGCGTCCCACATGCCACAACTAGAAGGACCCACAACTAGAATATACAACTATGTATGGGGGGTGCAGTTTGAGGAGAAGAAGAAAAAAAAGGAAAAGAAGAAGATTGGCAACAGATGTTAGCTCAGGTGCCAATATTTAAAAAAAAAAAGAAAAAGAAAAAAGAATTTTAAAGAAATTATTCATCTCTAAACTTAAGATGAGCTTTCCTTCACGTCTGCTGGGCTTTCAGGGGTTGCTGGGTTAATGACAGGATATGAAAGAGAAGCAGGAAATCAGCATCCACAAGCCCTGTAATCTACTGCTGAAACCTAAACAGACTTTGATAACGTCAGGCAGCGTGAGGATGCAGGGATGTGCAAGGGAGTCTGCTTCCAGAGAGCAGATGCTCTGGAGAAATTCAGACAAGGAGACTCAAGGGATTGCATTCTTTTCTTTGTTTTGGTGAGGAAGATTGGCCCTGAGATAACATCTGTTGCCAGTCCTCCTTTACTTTGTATATGGGATGCTGCTACAGTATGGCTTGATGAGTGGCGTGTAGGTTCGTGCCCCGGATCCGAACCTGCGAACCCCACGCTGCATGGGAACTTAACCACTATGCTACCGGGCTGGCCCCACGGGGTTTGGTTCTTACAGTAGTAGGATCCCCCTTCTTTTACTAGACACCAAATTCAGGACACTGACTTCTGTAAATGAGCCGCTACTACCAGTGAGTACAGGCTGCCTTCTCAGTAGTCACAACTCCTCCTAGAGTTTCAGATGCTCCTGTCCTTCACGTGCCATCCACTAAGGAAGGCAGTGCACCTGGGTGATGAAGTACAGGTTTTGTAGTGAGACGGAACTGCATTCAAATCCTGGCTCTGGTTCTTCCTTGCTGTGTGACTTCCAGTGATTTGCTTAACCTCTCTGGGCCTCTATTCTTTTTTGCTAAAACGGGAATGATAATAGTAACTATGTTATAAGGTAGGAGTAACAAACAGAAGTACACAAAGAAGGGCTTAGAGCAGTGCCTAGAGCACAATAAGAGCAAAATAAATGCTATCTAGTTACAATGCATGAAATTAAAGAATGGAAAACTATATAGGAAAGAATCTGGCTTTCTTTTCAGAGTAAAGAATTTTCTAAAAGAAAAAAATTGTGTGTATATGTGATAGTTATGTACCTTTATATGTATATATTTGCCTAGCTCTCTATCAACAGAGAGGAAAGTCTAATTCTTCTGGAACAGACTTAACTATTGGAACAAGCTTAAAACGGAAAGTCAGCATCTGTTGCCATTACTAAGTTTAGGCGGGACCTTCTAGAAGCCAGTAATGATTTTTTATTGATTAGTCTACTTTATCGAGTAGCACTGAAATGAAGGCACAGGCCACCTTCACCCTGAAGCTGTCTTTTTCTTTATACACCTTCCCCTCCACCAGATAAACAGGTTCTTTCTCTGAGTTTCTATGCTCTTAGACTTCGCTTTACTGCGGCACCTGGTGTTGCGTGCTAGAATTGACCTTGCTTGCCTTCCCAAGCTTCTCTTATTAGACACTGTGCTGTCTGAGGTCAGGCAGAGCTGCGCATTCATCTCTGCGCTCTCTGTCTGCACCTGGCCACTGAGGGCCGATCTATAAGTGCTCGTGGAACCGAGCCAGGTTTTACCTGCCCATCCTATGCGGTATGTTAACACAACCTCTGTGACTACTGGGCGAAATGTGTGTCTGGAGGAAGATTGACTTTGAAAAGCTGCACATAAAATGACTTTTGTTTTTTAAAAATAAAGTCACGTTTTGAAAGCTCTGTGGAGAAACTTACCGTTTAAAGGAAGCTTCCTTGTGGATTCTTTTGAAAAATCATGAGTAAACTCTTAATTTACGTTTTCTGTAAAATCTCGTAAATAAACAAATCAGTGGAGTTGGAATACAGGGGAAAGGTCCTTAGATTAAGAACCAAAAGTCATGTGTCCTAATCCGGATGCTTAATGACCCTGCACCTTTCATGGAAGGAACAGGGGCATAAATGAGCTATTTGGTTGAACTCCCATCCTTGCTACCAAGCAGCTGGCTAGTTTTAGGAGGTCTAGCTCTCAAGGTCTCCGTGTCCTTATCAACATAGCAGTGGTTTGGATCCAAAGATATCTTAAGGGGCTTTCCACTCCAGTCTACCGCGGTCTACAGAGCAAGCCAGGAGGGTCAACTCCCAGCATGTGCTACCACGGATGTGTGCATGTGTCTCTGTGTGTGTGTGTGTGTGTGTGTGTGTGTGTGTGTGTGGTGTCC